GGAAAGAAATAAGGTGAGGCAATGCGCATCATGAGTTTCAGTTTGGGATCAGCCAATAGAGAACGCCGCACAGTTTCGGCCATTACTAGCGGTCTATTTGAACAGTATTATACTTAACTAGGAAATTCAAACAAATAGGAATGGATAGGAAAATCTCTCAAAGGCATAATTACTGAAAAATTATTACTTTGTCATAACGAATGGAAATAATATCAGGAAAATGAACTTCCGTAAGAAAACCATATTTTTCTATGGCATAATTTTTGGAGGAAAAGATTCTAGTCAATGACTAGAATTAGGATGTTTAATTGAATTGTGATTTATAGAAATAAAGTAGTTAAAAAAAGGGTGAAATTTTAAAACTGGCGGCGTTTAACAATCTTCTGTTATCAACACCGAATAAAGATGTGTATAGAAACATACAATAAATAAATAAAAATTATATTATATCAAATTTCATTGTATACATATTTTAGTAACGCTATTTACAAGTATTAATTAAAGAAATTATTGCGCAATTATCGATTCATTCAAAATACATCGCGAGATGTCTCATCGCGTGATATTTTTGAAACAGCTCATAAACTGAGGCTACATTAGATGCTGTGTTATCAGTATATCAGTTACACCTAGTGATTATCCAGTAACAAGTTGAAATCCATCGTGGATCCGTTAGCTTGGTGCGTTTTAGACGTATCTTGATTGTCCTCTACCACGATCGTTCCGACATGATTCACCGTAACGTACAGGTATGAATATTCGTAGCCACCGGACGCGTTCTGAAATTACAATTGTACATACGAGCGCACGTGTGAGCAGACACAATTCTCGATCGCAAGCTCGCGGGCTTACCTCCTTCACTTCCGCGTACACCGTTCCCTGCCTTCTCGTTCCTTGCACGTAAAATCTGTCTCATATACTTGACGCCATCCTTGACGTAATACAAATGCCTGGGGGAACAAACGCAGACCAAATGTCAGTTATAAGTTGTGAAAGAACGGCGGCTCGGAAGATATTCTCAAAAATCTTGAATCTCCAAGTCACGACGTCGCAACAAGATTCGCGTGCATACGAAGTATATTCAAGATTTCATAGAAAAACACAGCGGAAAGTTTATCCGGTCATACGTGATGTGTCTTCTACGTCCACGACGAGTCTCTTC